TTCTGATATCCTTTCCTTATAGAGTAGCACAGTGGAAGTTTTGAACTCCTTTCTACTCATGTCGTCGCTATTATGCCTACTCGTATCACTCTTATCCTTTTGTTTCCTATGCGTTTGTGCGTATTTCTTTCTAAACGATAGAGGATAATTACCAATTAGCAAAGCTGGACGAGAAAGCTGTCCAGTTCTCTTACGCTTTCAAAGCTTCTTGAACTGATGTCAGTTGGTGATGAGTACCAACTTGAAACCAGCTTTATTCATCTTCTATTTAAAAATGAGATGTTGGAAGGAATAAACAGATAAATAAAAGATGTACTGAAAATTGGCTTTGTTTTTACTTGTCTGATATCAGTTAATATCTCCATCTGCTAACGTGTTCAGCCTGAAGTGGATAAATTATCTTCTCAAGTCATCTGCAACTAAGTCGACAAATTCACGTGTACTCCTGGAAGTAAGTACATCAAAGGGACTAATCGAGAAAACCAAATCGATTTTTTGAGCATTCCTTAATATTTTTGTATTTAAGAAGGAGGAAACACCATACAGACGTAATAACTAAACATCTATGGAAACTAAGTACTGAACAGATATCTCCAGAGCATAAAATAATAAATGAAAAAGAACACTTCTAAGTTTATTACAGCTTATCGAAGCCCTTACAACCAGACACTTTAAACTTGACCTTTCTTTTAGATCGCGGTCGATTTGATCTCTCGTTTCATTTTAAAAGAACTTAAAATTTAACTTCGGGGTTTATGAGGATTTGATTATTTTTCAAGTTGGTATTCGTCATAGACTGATATCAGTTAGAGGAACAATGGAAGCCTAGGAGCACTAGACAACCAGCTGTTTCCCCCTATTGTGCGAATCCTAGTTAATGTACACTCATGACCTTGACCCACCATGGACTGAGCAAGGAATCTTCAGATTCCGTGTCCAGCAAGTTACCATTGAGCCACTTGGTGGGAACCTAATGGTTCACGCTCCCAACTTTTGTCAGTTCACGACATAGCGCAACCGTCACCTAATATCATTGTTGAGTACTTGTTCTCACGAGTTCTCATCGGAACTTCAGGAATCACCTCTCGAAGTTAGTCACCCTGGCTAGATCATGGATGCGCACTTCTGAGGAGTCCCCTAATAGAATGAAACAGTTGGCTTTCCAGTGTTCTCACCTTTTCAATGTTCCTTCAACTGATATGAGTGCTTAAGGAATACCAAGTTGATAAAAGTGGTTATTTTCTACGTAAATTTTCATTGATGTTGACTGCAGCATATAATTCTTTTATTTATCTCTTCTCCCTTCTATTTACTCTGGCGTTGTTATTACTAGATAAGGCAAGAATAACAGTGGTATGACACAAGTAGCATGCATATATGCGTTCCGTCGATCCTCATCAGCTGCTTTACAAAACCTATTGAATATTTAACTTTTGTGCTTAAAGGAATAAGCATACAACTTACTTTCATACATCGACAAGAATGTTTCAAGTGAGATGGAAGGTAGGCAAGATTTAGGGTGACTGAGATTACTAATGTTTTTAATACTATTCCAAGATTAACTATTTATGCAGTAAGAGAATGACCATTTTAAAAGAGACAGCAAACAATGAAGGAGTTAGAAGTGACATCATGATCAAGTAAGCGTAACAAAAGGTTAACAAACTTTCTTGAATACAACTCAGAAAGTGAGAGCAGATTTCAAAACAGATCAAAAGATATGGTAGAGAAGAAGGTAGAGAATACAATTATCAAGGTAAAGCTAGATTGACTACAGTATGCCTATTAATATATTGATGAGAGTGGAGTCTTTTTTAATTGCAATTTCTTCAGCAAACTGCAAATTTTTGGTGGGTTTCAGCTGCGAAATGACCACTCTGAACGATTTCGATACGTTGACTTTATGTACAAGAATAGATAAGCATCGAGTGGTTGCTCCATTGAAATTCAGTAGATCTCTAAAACTCAAAAATTCTTCAGGATATGTTCAGAAATGCGAACAAGAATCCCTTTCTGGATTCCTTCAGTGTATGCGGTTAGAGACGTTTATGTGTATTAGTAAAAATAGTTGGGGGATAAAAAGAGTTTAGAATTTGTCCTGTTTAGGCTGCCTCAATGAACAGTTAGTCTGATACACACAGACTATGTTGGTGGGTGGATAGTCATTTTCAGTACAGCATTCACCTTATGGTTTATCCTTATGGCAATTTCATTCCCTTTGAAGGTGAAGTGTAGAAAGATGAGCGTCTTCTTGTCAGTTGTACTACAATTTATTCTTTGTTTCTGTCCTTATAAATGAATTTTTGACCATAACAGTCTTCATGTAGGTAGCATTGGACAAAGGCCAGTTCTTCATTAATTTTTCTCTACAGAGCATAGTTTAAGCGTACCACTGAAAAATGTTCTTATCAGACATTTTTTGTAGATTGTTGAAGAAGAGCTAATGACGTTTAAATGAAACCCACTTCTTGTATCTTTTCGATGGATTTATCCATGAATTTCTCCATGTGTATGATGCTGTGCGCCCAAGGTATGGGAAGCAAAATTTACAATTGTTTTACACATTAGGAAAAATCTGTCAACCTTTTATTACACTTACTTGATCATTATTTTGACAATCTGAGTTAGCACCTGTGGTTTGACAGACTTGTATTGATATCTTGTGATGATTGAATGTGAAGTGGAATTTGGACTGTGGAGGGACTTGAACCGGTGACCAGTGGGTTTTCAGCCTGGTACTGAGCTAGTAGAGCATCGGCCCGTTGGTCACTGGTTCGAATCTTGTCACGGTTCAAATTTTCATTTCGCCCTCAATCATCATCACCCAGTATCAACTTGCTTAATCATGATATCAAATACGTCCTATCAGGAACACTATTCTATAGGTTTTAGGAAGCAGCTAATGAGATTCCACTCATGCCAATTCGACTACACTGTTGTTCTCCTTACTTCATTCCAGTTTGTTGGTTGCAGTGATAGGTGGAGTTAAAAACACTTATCTATTAAATATGCAAAGATATGCGTTTTGTCTTGCTTGGAACTCTTCAGCTGGATGTACCTACACACAAGTGAGCTGTGGTGTAATGAAATTTTGTAGTTACGAAGCGTATTGAAATTATCAAGTTTGAGCTCGACGGATAACGGTATCTTTCTGAAGACATAGATCAGAGTTGGATCTCTTTAACTGTGCTTCTTTAAACAACCCGCAAACCGTTGATAGGTCTCAGTTGCTTGTTGATCACTTTGAACGATTTCAATACATCGACTTTATATGCAGGATCAAGCAAAATTTGAGGGTATTGAAACTCTATGGATTCCTAGGACTCAAATATTTTTTCAGGATATGTTCAGAAATGCAAACGAGAATCCCTTTCTGGATTCCTCCAGTGTATGCGTTTCAAGACGTGTATGTTAGTAGATAAATATAGTTTAGGTTAACAAGAGATGTTAGACGTTTTTACGTTGGATTGTCTCGTTGAACAGTTAATGTGATACACATGGATTTCGTTGGTGAGTGGATAGTCATTTTCAGTACAGCATTCACTAAATGGTTCATCCTTGTGGCGATTTCATTCCCTTTGAAGGTGACAGGCATCTTCTTCTCAAGTTAACTGCACTTAGTTTTTTTCCTTTTCTGTCCTACTGGGCCTCATCTACCATGAGAAGGCTTTGCAAGCCACACGTGGTATTGTTTTTGGTTCGCGACTCATGATGTGCTTAAAATTTGGGCTGCCAAAATGTTTTTTTCATACATTACATTGAATTGCTCTTATTGTATTTGTTTTAATTATTCAACTGTCAGTTTATCGTAAAATGTACGCTAGCGCCTCTTCAAAATATCTCCAGGTTGTTGTCGAAGAAGTTAACAACAAAAGTGAAATAAAACTATCACAGCAGATGGCAATGAACTCGAGTTCAAAACAGTTCATATCTTAAGTGTTACATGGGGGTGGTTAGCAGGAACTGAAAATTTTCTATGCTGGCTAAATAATCCGTCACTACCATCGACCTCTGTTAGCAGATGGGCTCCAATGAGGATGCTTCGATACTTCTAGATATTCATGATGTTATGTTAATTTTGCTGCCTATCAGAGGAGTCCAAGATGCATGTCCCTTCAAACTCATTTTATTGGATAACGCTCTTGCGTTTGAAGCGATGGGTACTTGGCTGGAGCCTGAGTGTGAACATCACACACCAACTCGTAGGTATGTCCAGTTGACAAGCCCAAAATAGGACGAAACGCGCGTCGTGGATTCCTCCGCTAGTCACAAAGATCAATATAACAAACTGGTAAACGTTCTCGCAAAGGCCTTTGCCTAACCGTAGGTTCTATGTAACTTGTTTCTCATGAACAGTCTGATATTTACAACCTGTAAAGTTAAGTTCGAGTATCCTTCATTCTGCAAGTGAGTATAGGTCGACTTCTGAAAGATAAACAATGACGTCCTGGACTGTTCTAGCTAGACATTGTGTTGGGATGTCACTTGGAGGGTCTACCTTAAATTTCAATCATAGAAACTTAAGCCTTCTCCACTATCGTCAGTTCTCGTTTAAGATCATGGGGATTGGTTTTTTCTATTTTCACATAGTGGTTTCCTTTTCACGGTGTTTATGGAACATATCGATCTTACTCTAAGTGTCTGGCAGATATACTGTGCCTTAGTTGTCAGTTTTCTATATTTATACTTACTTCTGTATGAGTAAGCAGCCTTCAAATGTAGTTATTAATTTCTGTGTCAAAATTTAGAGGTTTTTCATACCAAAGTTGTCCGGATGTATCACAACGAAGCGAATTCATATCCACTGGTTTCAGTTTTAAGACAGGAATACCTGTATTTCTGCACACAAGTTAAATTTTCAAACTGTACTGCAACTTTAGTGGCTTTGTACTCGAAATTGTCTCTTTGATGTTCGCTTAGTAACCATGGAAATGTTTTTTTATTTAAATTTTCCAGTATTTCATCCAATCGAATGTTAGAAAAGTCGCAAGTCCTTACAAATGATGGAAAACATTGCAAATAATTCGTTGAAAGAAACGAAAACTCCAACTTCATCCAACATAGGTAGTGAAGCCATATCAGACACATCTAGAATTGATGATGTCAGTAGTGTGGAAAGCTCATGTCATCAGGAAATAGTCTTAGCAGGGACTACCTACATTCCAGCAGTCTATGAATTCCGTCAACAGCCTATTCTGATGTTAGCTAGTCAACAACCTTTGCAGCAGTCAGTATCAACATCCTCTGCACCTCTGTCATTTCACTTCAACGTAGACTATCAGCAACACCAAACAACCTGCACACCATTATCCAATCTCCATACAACAGCTGCCATTAGCTCGAATAAAAATAGCTGTAGAATGAATGACATAGCTAAACTGTCTCTTATCCCCCTATTGCCTTATCACACATCGACTACAACAGACAATATTGCTCAACTTCAACAGTCATCTGTTGCTTCACCAGATGTGAATCCAAATACAAGACGTCATTTTAAACGTCGTGTCGCCAATTATCACCATAATCAGAGGTCAACAGGTCTGGCCATTTTAGAACACTCCCTGAATAAAACTCCAGTGTGCAATTCACACAGTGCTCCATCTTCACTTTTCTCCGTTGCCATAGCCAGATGCTCTGATCTAGAAAATCATAAGAATCAGCAGAAAAAAGAAGTGCATTATCAGCATCTACGCTCATTTGCATCAGCTAATGAGAATGATGACGGTCCAGATGATCACAGTGTGATTGTAACCAATGAATCAATCCAAACAGCTGACAGATCACTTTCAAATCATTCTATTTCAAATGAACAAAGGAATAATTTATTAACATCTAGTGAATGTCTTTCTTCGTCTCTTGAAAATCATAAATTAGATGACATCATTCCTAGTACTACTACCACTACTTCTACTACTAACAACAACAACATGAGTAGTATTCCGGACATCAGTGGTAGTAGTAGTAATAATGGTAATTTTCCTGTAAGGTCACGTTCTTTTTTTCATTTACGTCAACTGGATTCCCCAAATTCAGCTGGATCTCATTCAACAAAACCAAGTACCGACATATTATGCTGTACTAGTGATTCATTGAATCAGCTAACAGTAAGAGTTACATCGTCACCGATATCCATTAGTGCAGTAGAAGATAGTCATTTGTCATATTATTATTATCATCATAATCACCATCTACAGCAACAACAACAGGACAATTATAATCCATGCAGTCATAATGTGAATACAACTGGAAATGCAAACACCGGTGGAAGTATTATTAAAACGAAACGTGGCAAGTGTGAGAAACACATAAGTCTGGAGAAACCTGTCGGTGTCAGATCGTATTCAGCAATGAGACATCCAAATGGGTGTGGTTCACGTGTGTTTCGTTCACCGCTTGATGTACTTGCACCTTGTAAAGGTAACCATTTGTATTGTCATAAATGTAGTGAAATTGTTACTTTTTTGTTAGTAACCGATCTTGGAAATTGTATCCTCAAAATATGTTTTCTGTTCTCAGAAAACATATAACAGTTGTGAAATGATGATGATGATACTGAACTGATGAGCCTGGTCTTGATGAGTGAAATTGTCATCCAATGTTGAGATAACTCCAATCTGGTTGCCTGCAAAATCCTGGTGGATAGTTGCATTATGTTACACAAATCTACTGCAGCAGGAAAATATGAACCACTGAACTCAAGCTCAGTGGTTGGAGAGTTAACCCCTTTTTCCTGTAAGCGAGATATGACGGTTCTATGTTCAATCCTTGGTGGGATTATGGATGTGTACTGCTGAGAAGTCTTGTACTAATGCGAAACAGGAAGGAGTCCAGTGTTCTGTGGCTTTCAGTGGTCCTCTAATCAATATCAGTCAGTCTGAGATGTTGACTACCTTGATACCATTGTGTAATATGCGGGGAATTTTACCAGCTGACTATCTTTTTAAGTTTCGGAGTGTTGAGAGTCACTAGTCATGCGGTCACTTATACTCAATAATCTGTGACACTTAGAAATGTAGAAAGAAACTCTGTCGAGAGACTAGACAGAATGTGACTGACTGACTAAACTAAATACACTACATTATGAAGCATACTGAAAAATAGACAATTGTCAAAAAATGTCATTCTAAGAGATATACGCTGTTTAAAGAAGCGTATCCAGTCATTTATCTTCTGAAGCATTGTTCACATCTCCTTTCGACTGTGCCTCTGTGTGACAGAAAACACCCTGATGTTCTATCACTTTAGAAAAGAAGTGAGCTATAAAGGGTTATGATGTGAAACACTGGCGTGACAACATGCACAAACTGAATCCTACTAAAAAAATGTTTTGTATATTGTCTTGCGATAATTATACGTAGGATTCTTAACAGTGATTGGATTACGGTGGTATTTAAATCCACAAAAACTCATTCAAAAACAAACTCTGTAGGCTAAAAAATCCAGTGGAGTCACCTGGACAAAATAGCCTAATCTATCTATTACCTTTTAATGATAGTGAGGTCAAGTATATTTGTCGGTGTCAGTCAGAAAGGCAGATTAGAAAAACTTAGCAAAATATACAATGGAAGACCGAACCAAGGTAAGTAGTTTACAGGGAAACTCATCTATTGCTCGGTTTGCACTGATCTATAGTCACACTATAGGGCGGCGGGATAATGGATGGTGACATTTCTAAAATCTAATATATTTCTTGATGGAGGGAGAAACTGATCACAGAATCTTTGTTCATTGAATCAATATGCCTAACATATATGTAAAAGGCATGACTTGTCACATATTAAAGCTATCTGGGAAACTTGACTATAATTAAAGCAAAAGATTGTAGAATTGTTGGACTACATGTAATGGAAGTTGTAAAGTTACATGATTACGTTGAGATACAAATGTGAGCAATATATTCTTCTCAAAACGTCATCATATTCAGTGAATAATAATCATACTGTATCACAGTCTAATATGAAATTATATTCTATCACACTTCTCAAGTTTTACTTTTGTATACAAGCATAAGAATTTGTCAATCAGAAATGATTTTCTATATAAGTCTATCGGCATTACGTGACCGGTCATTAGAAAATTCAGAAGTGGATTGAATCAGAAAACCATTTAAAGCCACAAAGTTACTCCAGGAGAATTTTTTTTGCTCTAAGAGGCTTCACTAGGGAAAAAATAATCTGCTCTCTCGAATTCCATACAATAATTGTAAGTTAGAGTATGTGTATCAAAGTGGGCTATCAAAGTATGTTAAGAAATTGGCCTGCCATCTCTTTGCATGTGCTCACTAATGATCACACAATAGGGTGGGATAGGGTGAAAGTTCTAGAGCCAAACATAGCTGTAGGTGGATACAGCCTGGAAGGCGTTGAAGATGGAGTCATTGGTCATCGAAACAAGACATCTATCACAAGTAGCAGAAACTTATCAAAATTCAACCATCAGTCAAAAGAAAAGAAAAAGGAGTTATTTGCCCATAAAAAGGTAGTGTGATTGTTGTGTATTCTCAGGATGCTACTTGCTCTGTGGATTATTGATATCGTAAGAAAGGTTGGTGTAAGGAAGATAATGAATTATTTAGCCACTATAAAATACGATTGGCGAAAAGGTAACAACCAACAGTTGAGAATCTACTTGGCTTTGAGAAATACCAATGAGGATCGAGCAATTTGTAAGTCATCTGCAAATTGTTAATTCTGTTTTAGATATATTGGTCCATAGAAGTCATCTAGCCATGCAGATTCAGGTGATCTTAAGTAATTTACATGTGTGAGCTTAATTTGTACACATATACCGCTGATGAGCTCGGCTCAAAACAGAGAAATCGCCATCTCGTGATTAGATCCCTGTGATCTGACTGGTGATACCTGCGCATATATACATACATGCATACGTACATACACCCATGCATACATACATACATGCATGCACGCATACATACGTACATATATACATACATATATGCATGCATACATACATACACACATACATACATACATACATACATACATACATACATAAATTATATAGAGCGTTCAAAGTTATCGGTTGATATATTAAATAACAGGAAACCATAATTTTTCAGGACGCAGAGGAAGTTTAGATAATAAACCCATTCAAACTTCATGAGGGTTAAACAACGCAAGGTATGGTAGAATGTTCACGAATGAGTGATTAACTGGTTAAAAGTAGAAGAGGTTACGTAACCATGTGAAAATGTTATGTCAACAAAATTATAGTGGGTATGATGAAACTATCATAATGATAACGATTGCGGTAATAATGAAACTATGCCCAACGTGAATACGGATATGAATAAGCACAAAATAAATGTGTTAGTTGCTTGAAAGCAATCGGTAGGAAGCTCTGGGCTCAGGTATCGCGCTTATTGGCACTCGTCAACAACGCCTGTCTGCAACCTCGATGGAATTGATGTCCCACCGAAGATTGAAATCCATGTCACCCAATGTTTTAGTTAGCAACGTTATCACCACGGTACTCTAACGTCATTGACTACAACACTGCGGGATACGGGTTTGGACTTCAGATGGGACATCGCTGCTGTCAAGGTGGCAGATATGCCTTGCTGATGAATGCCTGAAAGCACGAAACCCAGGTCTAAGACTTCCTGTCGATTGCCTCCAACCAGTTGACATCTACCAATGTCCACCGAAGATATGATTGATAGATGTCGGTGTGCAATCGGGACCAGACGACGTGAAATTGGTTACTCCCCCGTTATTAATCAATGTACAAAATTGAAGTATTATAGTTATTTTAGGTGAGATTCAAGGGTGAAAGGTCACTAATTTCCAGGGCAGTAATAATAAGTTGATAACTGTTTCTTTTTGAATACACAGTTCTGGTTAAACTCATCAGATAGTGATGTCATGGACAATTCAGTGTAGACAATAAGTCATTTGTCTGTTGTCTACTATGAAGCGTTTCATCATATCTACTTGATGTCCGGTGTCAAATAACTTACAAGCTATTACACTGCTAAATGAGGATCGACCTCTGAGATGCAGACTATTTTAAATGTACTCGGAGCACCTAGGAGACTTCCACCTTTCAGTCATTCCTACGTGCTTGCTATACCATATACATGTGAATTGATAAATACAATTAGAATTAACAAGAGTTAGGACTTTGTCTAATTCGGATTGCATAACTGTAAATGTTTTGGTACAGTCTCACAGTCCGATAAGTCGTGAATAGTCCACTTCCAATTCGTCTGTCATCTCCCTTGAAAGTTAGAGCTTGGAACATTGGTTTCTTTCCAACAGTAGTGCATCCGCCTTTCTTTTTATAGCTGTTACTGTATTTTTGGCACGAAACTTATCATATAACTACCATTAAGTAGATGTTGTTTGATCAGTTGATATTCTTCCGATAATTTTTCTTTGGAACATTATCTCTCTGCCCTCTGGTATAACGTCCTCATGAAACCTCTCAAAAGGACTTTCAACACTGACTGCTCCACGTAGTTTTGAGGTGAATGCTTCTCTTTCTTGTGCCGTCTTCCTTAAGTCGCAAACATAAGTCGAGAAAATCTCACTACTGCGTCTACTCACATTTCATTGTCAACCTAATGCTATGATGTGTCCTGTTCAAATGTTGAATAAGCTTTCTTACTTGTAGGAGGTTTCTACAGGTAATTTAGGTGTCATCAACAACATGGTTTCATCGACTCCAAGATTCAGGGTAGCTTTTTCTAGGTGCAATATGACGTCTACCATTCCTGGTCTTAGTGGATTTCCCGTAGCCACATCGTCAGCTTGCTTACATAAGGTATAGTTGGATTGGAGGAGAAACATTAGACTCTGAGATTGACAGCCCGAACATTCCATATAATTTTCCTTGATAAAAATTGGCTGGACTGGTGGGCAATCACAGTAACCACTCAAGTGTGATGACTTTCTGTAAATACTGATACCGAAATTGCCAAACTTCTCACTTCATTTGGCAGTCCAACACAGGTGGTTCTGCTTCTCGCTTTTTTCGGGTTCATAATTGAATCGGATCGCTTCTACTAGTCTGTTTATTCATGTCATCCACATATCTCTGTCACAGCTTCAGAATGGACTGAAAAATGCGTAATTCCACTCGTTAACAGCTGCACATAAAAGCATCTTCTGCGATAGGGGATATTGAAAATTCCCTCATTATGCCTTCTGCTTATATGATAATAATACCGCATCGCAGTTCGCTTTACTAAAGAATTATTCAAAGTTGGGACTATGGTGAACTACTGTGTCAACGTTTTGTCTTAAAACGCTAGTACCGTGTCGACAGAGGAGCCTACTTAGGTACTGAATTTAACACCATGTAATTAAACGAAGATAATTCTATTCCGACGAATCATCGTTTTCAGCTGTTTTACAGTTGTATGCATAATAACAAAAAACACATAAATGAGTCCA